GTTAAGTTCAAGAGTGTCAATCACAGGGTGCTTGCCAACAAGTTAGGCCCAAGAATTTCAGTGGGTTGTTTTTTCAGAACACATTTAGGAGAAGATATTACAACAAGAGTTTATGGGCCAATCAAGGAGTTATTATCACAAGATAACCCCCCAATCTACCGGCACACTACCATAAAAGAGTATCTCACGCACTTCTTAACGAAAGGGCTCGATGGAATCCCTTCACTGTCACATTTCAAGCTGTGCAAGTAGGCCTTGGAGATTTTGAGGCCAGCTTAATTTGGTTACTTCTGGTTTGGCTTAAGGTTTACCAATAAATTCCTTCTCTTGGAATATGTGACCTGTTGTGTTATATAATTCTGTGGGATGCTTCATATTTCAACAACCTGAAAATCGTAGCTCTTCTGTACTGCAACTTCAAGTATGTTAAATTAAAGCAATAATATGAAACCTAGACACATTTCAATATTCATGATTTTATACCATTTGCTCTTTTCTGGTTGTAATCTCGAACGTTTTACAATCAAATGTTAGCCCTTACGTGATTTTTTTTTTTTTAAATTAGTGTATTTGAGTTTTGCCTTTTTGTGACTTGCAGGTTGTCCTGCATCTCTATCTAGATTTGTTACAATTTTCATTCTGGAAAATTCATGGGAGAATTGGTCGTGCAACCTACATCCTTTGTAATATTCCACTAGTCACCACTTGATTCCGTAGAAATCTCTTTCATGATCAAATCAGTGTAGTTGGATAGGTGCTTCTATTATTCACGCTCTCACACTGGAAGATTTTGATCAAGATCAAACTCTTGTCCAGTTCTATAGCATGGCAGACCATGCATTAGGGATCAATGGGTGTCTTTATACATTAATATTTCTTTGCTGTCCCGGAAGTGTTCATTACTCAACTTAATTTTTGCTCTTTTATATGCATCTCTTTCCTTTATACAACCTTTTACTTCTTGCTAACCCTTTGGTCATTTCACTGAATTACTGTGACACATCATTCCAAAGAAGGATGTAATTGTCGATTGAGATAGAAAGCATGGCCAACCACAGAGAGATTTTGAACCTCCATCTTGTATCTTCCTTGTCTTCACATGAAAGCTATTGTTGTTTTCATATTTCACATAAAGTTTAATTGCATTCCCATAGATTAATTATCTTCTTCCTAGAGAGTAGAAAATGGTGGTAACAAGCAATTCTGAAGTTCAGGCAGTAATCAAGCCCAACAACTATGACCGAAGAAGTGAACTCAAAGCTTTTGATGATACAAAAGCCGGTGTGAAGGGACTCGTAGATGCTGGGGTGGAGAAAATACCATATATATTTGTGGATCACCAAAATAAGCTTAAGGATGATGGATCAGGTTGTGGTAACTCCAAGTTCAGTATTCCAGTGATCGACTTCAAAGGCATCGACAAAGATACAGCTTTACGTGGTGAAATCATGAGCGAAGTTCGAGATGCTTGTGAGGAGTGGGGTTTATTTCGGGTGGTCAATCATGGAATTCCAGAAAGTGTTATGGATGAAATGATCAATGGGATACGTAGGTTTCATGAGCAGGACATTGAGGTCAAGAAACAATTCTTTTCTCGTGATTTAAAAAAAAAAATTGTACTTATTTTAGCAATTTTGATCTATATCAAGCACCAGCAGCTAACTGGAGGGATACTGTTGCTTTTGTCGTGGCTCCTCATCCACCTGATCCTCAAGAACTGCCTGTTGTTTGCAGGTATGATTGATATACCTTTTTAGTTAATTAGCCCAGTACACCTTGGGGTTTTCATTTTTTCTTCTGTACCAAAAGGAAAAAGGACTGAATGGTTTTTGATGGTAGATTTTGCAGGGATTTCTTAGGTTCTGGTTGGAGTTTGCCCATAAGCTTATTATTTTACTGGCAAACATGTTAAAAACAATGAAAAGGCATTTATCAATTTTCTACTTATGAACTAGATTAGTAGAAAAGTTTCACCATTGCAGTGTGTTTGGATAAGAATTTGGGGAAACCTCTCTTTTACTATTATTTTATCCTTTCCCACAACATGCCAAAAAATAATAAATAAAAAACTCTTGTACTACGAACATGTTTCTATTGGGCACGTTCATAGGTTTTCCCTGTTTGCAATCTGCATTTAGCATGGTAATGTATTTGCACTGCTTGAAGAAGATCAATATATCTTGATTCTTGAGTACTGTAACAATAGGATGCAAAAGTTATTCCAATTTCAGTACTATTTTAGGAGCTTTTCTTCTTAATTTCTGTTTGTCCCCAAGATTGTTTTATGTGAACTGGACTGGTGGCCTTCCACTGCTTTCTCACCCTTTTCTGCAGTCTGTATAATGTATGACCCCTATAAACATTCTGTAATGAATATTAATACCTACAGCTTCAGAAGAGAAGACCTATACGCCGGGATACGACATTGTCGGTACCCAATAATTTCTCCCATAAATGGTTTCATCCCTTTTCCTTCTCTCTTTTTATGCAATGCTGTCTCACAGATGTGCATCTACTGCTAGAATGACGTATATTTGTTTAACTTGCAGAGATGTATTGATCGATTACTCCAAGTATGTAATGCAATTGGGACTTACTCTATTTGAATTGCTCTCAGAGTCTATCGGGCTTAATTCTGATCACCTCAAAGATATGAATTGTGCTGAGGGACTTTTTGTCCTTGGCCAATACTACCCAGCATGCCCTGAACCAGAATTGACCTTTGGCACTAGCAAACATTCTGACAATGGCTTCCTTACCGTTCTCTTACAAGACCAAATGGGTGGGCTTCAAGTCCTTCATGAGAATCAATGGATTGATGTCCCTCCCTTGCCTGGAGCTCTTGTAGTGAACATTGCAGATCTTATACAGGCAAGTCTACCATATAACTTTATTATTTTTTATTTCTTATTTTTGCCTTTTCCCTTTTCTGCTTCAAAAGCATAGTTTCACATAAAAGCACATTAGAATACTCCAAAGAGGGAATCACTTGATGGGTTAAAAGTTTTCCATAACTCGAGACTAGCCGCTAGACTTCTGCCTCTTAACTGTTATGCATTGAGCATTTGGTGTGCAATAAGCATGCTATCTATCTACTTTTAAAATAGTAGAGTGCCAACTCAGCATAATAAAGTAGATAGATAATATGCATATATTAGATTATGTTATACGTGTGGAACTCATTTTTTCATTGTCTACTTTATTATTATATAATTAATTTAGAAGTGATGTAAGAGAGGAAGACAAAAACAAGGACAACCCATGATTAAACAATTGTGTCAAAACGGATAGATATACTCTAGCATTCTCCAACTGTGGACAAAATGTAATAGCGGACAACTGATGGGCCCAACAATTTTGCTACTTCACTTTTCACCTACACCGAGTTTCCTTCTCTCTACTTTATACAAATATCCTTTACTTTTGACTGTACCCGGATGCTCTTCGAGCATGTGGTGTGGGGCTAAAGGTTATCTATCTACTTTTTAAAAAATAGATTGCCACATAAGCTAAAAATTGGTGATGTGGTACTCTATTTTTTGTTATCCAATATGTTCCATGGTGTGAAACTCAATTATCTCATTATCTATTTATTATTTTGTTAATTTAATTTAAAAATTAAATAACAAATTTTAATTTTAATTTTATAATTTTTTGTCTTTTTTCCAACGGCTATAGAGATTAATGAAGGTGGAGGATCCATAGAGATGGATGTTAAAAAAATAATTGAGAGAGAATTATTGAAGATGAAAATTAGTATTTACAGAATAAATAATATAGCCATTTTAAAAGAGAGCCGTTTATTATCGTTTTAAAAGAGCCGTTGAAGTTGCTATTTATTTTTTACTTTCTATTTACAGATTCTTTGCGAATCCATACAAAACAGAGCAACTAATAAACAAAAGAAAGAAAATAATAAATATGGTCCAAACCATTCTCTGTCAGTAAAGAAGCCCATAGATAAGTCTTTGTGGGGGCCACAAAAAGGGCAATCAATTTTGAATGCAGACAGCCTCTCTCTCTCTCTCTCCCCCCGTTTCACAAATCTTCTCTACAATTTGATGCGCCCCAGATGCTCTTAGCTCTTCCAAGTGTGAGACTATCTTAATGCATTTACACTAAGCTTGTATAGTGGTACTTAGAGTTTCTCCTAAGTATCATGTGCAATCATTCGTATCATTTGAATTCTTATAAATGCTTCAAGCTAGAAACTTGCATGTTCAGATGGTGTATAACCTGTTTTTGGACAATATACGCCCCGTATCAGAAGTAATTCAGTTTCTTTCCTCTTTCAAATTGTTATCATTTTTACTACTGCTCACTTTAAATACAATTTTCGTCTCCAAGAAAAAACTTTAAAGCAGTTATTCACAATATCAATGACAATTGTAATTAACAACACCGTTGTTATCATTTTTTTTTTGTTTTTGTTTTCATGTTTGTGCAGCTCATCACCGATGACAAGTTCAAAAGTGTAAATCACAGAGTACTTGCCAAAAAAATTGGCCCTAGAATTTCAGTGGCAAGTTTTTTCCGAACACATTATCAGAAAGGGCTTACATGTAGAGTGTATGGACCAATCAAGGAGTTGATATCAGAAGAAAACCCCTCAATCTACAGGGAGACCACTGTAAAAGAGTACCTCGCACACTTCTTACAGAAGGGGCTTGATGGAACCTCTAAACTATCACATTTCAAGTTGCATAATTAGGCCCTTGGAGATTGATTCTGGCTGGCTCATGGTTTGAGTTATGGACCATATGGTTAATCAATTATCTCCCTCCCTTGAACCTTACTTGTGGTCTAAGATGTGTCAAAAAACAAAAAAATTCAAAATTAGAATAGCCAAGCATGTATGTCAATGATACGAAAATCAAGACTCTTTTATGTATTACAGTTATATGTACTGATATTAAGAGCTTCAGTATAATGCTTGCTTGTAGTAATTCTAGGCTTCTATGCAGCGAAGGAAGCAAATAGCTCATGAAGCATAGTCGAATTCGTTTAGACCTCCAACAAAAATTCCGAAACATTGATCAGTTCACGTGTCTACTAAGGATATTAATTATTTGGTGGTTGACTGATTCTCTCCATTAATTTAAGGAGGTATCTCTTTCCCCTCTTATACAACCATCTTTCTGACCTAAATTCTAATTATAACATTCCACATTTCACCACTTTATTCAATACAACTTTCTTTCGTGATCAAGTGTAGTTGAATAAGTGCTTCTATGATTGAAGCTCTCATATAATCGTATTAGATGATTCATTTTTATTTTTATTGTTTTCAATATAAAAGAGGCCTTTAATATATAGTATATTAATAATTAATAATATATATTTAATTTATATATATATATTTCCCTCTTGTAACAGGTTAGTATAGATAACAAAAATAGAACATTTTTCAATTTTATCAATATAATAAATGTTCAAGTCTTTCCCGAGCCAACAATGACAATGGCTCATGAACTGTAAATCCAACTTTTGTATCAGCATCTTTTGTAGGCTGTTGATGTTCACGTTTCTCTTGTAATTTTATTTGACAAATGAATTTAAAAACTGAAATCTCAAAATGCCGTCTTCAGATCATTGAAGAATAATTTTTTTTTTGTAAAGGACAAAACGGTTCATGTCTAGGAGGAAACTAAGAATTAATATAATAAAATTAAAAGTGATGCAATTGTTAATTGAAATCCATGGCCTACCTCCATGGAGTTAAACTAATATCCTACATAATTGCACTTTGTACAACATTGTCTTCCTAGAGAAAGAAAATGGTGACCACAACAAGCACACGTGAAGTTGAGGCCATAGCTATGGCTGAATATGATCGGAAAAGTGAGTTAAAAGCTTTTGATGATTCAAAAACAGGTGTGAAGGGACTAGTAGATGCTGGGGTGACCAAGCTCCCTCGTATATTTGTCCATGATCAGAAAATTAAACTTCCAGGGAAGTCTGATTGCGGCAATTCCCAGTTCAGTATTCCAACGATAGACTTGGAAAGCATGAACAAGGATGCAGCTCTACATGGTGAAATTGTGGAAAAAGTTAGAGCTGCTTCAGAGAAGTGGGGTTTCTTTCAGGTGGTCAATCATAGAATTCCGGTCAGTGTCATGGACGAAATGATTGATGGGGTACGCAGGTTTCATGAGCAAGATACTGAGGTGAAGAAGCAATTCTATTCGCGTGATTTGACTAGAAGGTTTGTATACAATAGCAATATTGGTCTGTATCAAGCACCAGCAGCAAACTGGAGGGACTCCATTTATTGTGTTTTGGCTCCTCAACCACCTGACCCTTCAGAACTGCCCGTAGTGTGCGGGTATGTTATCAATTAGAGCAATATTTGTATATGTATGACAACAAATTTTCCAGTCCTAACCACGTTTGATTAGGCTTTTTTTCCGGCCTTTATCTTTTATTTTGGGAATTTCCTTTAAACTAGCTGATCTTTCCCTTCAAAAATCAACAAAATCGACAATCACTAGCCCTGTTTTTCTATACTTCTACTGCCAAAGTTATTCATTTTCGTTGGTCCATGTGTCAATTTATGTAATTGCAGAGATATAATGATGGAGTACTTCAAGAACGTAATGAGATTGGGACTTACTCTGTTGGAATTGCTTTCCAAGGCACTTGGGATTGACCCAAATCACTTGAAAGACATGGATTGTGCTGAGGGGCTATTCTTCACCGGCCATTACTACCCGGCATGCCCTGAACCTGAATTGACATTGGGCACTGGCAGCCATACTGATGCTGGCTTCATTACAATACTTCTACAGGACCAATTGGGTGGCCTTCAAGTCCTTCGAGATGATCAATGGGTTGATGTCCCTCCCTTGCCTGGAGCTCTTGTGGTAAATATTGGAGATTTTCTACAGGCAAGTCTATGTAATAGTATATTTCGCGTACTCATACATATTACTAATGCAGCTCATCATGTTGTTTCATTTGCTTTTATGACTCTATTTGTGCAGCTCACTACCAATGACAGGTTCAAGAGTGTCAATCACAGAGTGCTTGCCAACAAGTTAGGCCCAAGAATTTCAGTGGGTTGTTTTTTCAGATCACATTTAGGAGAAGAGACTACATCAAGAGTTTATGGGCCAATCAAGGAGTTGCTGTCACAAGATAACCCCCCAATCTACCGGGACACTACCACTAAAGAGTACCTCGCACACTACTTAAAGAAAGGGCTCGATGGATCCCCTGCACTGTCACATTTCAAGTTGTGCAAGTAGGCCTTGGAGATTTAGAAGCCAGCTTAGTTTGGTTACTTCTGGTTTGGCTTAATGTTTACCAATAAATTCCTTCTCCTTGGATGTGTGACCTGATGTATCATATATTACGTGGGATGCTTCATATTTCTACAATCTGGAAATCGTAGCTTTTCTGTACTGCAACTTTAAGTATGTTTAATTAAAGCAATCATTTGAAACCTAGAAGTTTATGTCACCTAGACATATTTCAATATTCATGATTTTATGCCATTTTATCTTTTCTGTTTGTAATCTCGAACTTTTTACAATCAAATGTACGCCCTTGGGTGAAAAAAAGAAGAAGAAAAAGTCAATGTAGTTGAGAATTGCCTTTTTTGTGACTTGCTAGTTGTCCTGTATCTCTAACTAGATTTGTTACAATATCCATTTTGGAATATCCATGGTAGAATTGTTCATGCAACCTATAACCTTTATAACGTTCAACAAGTCACCACTTGATTCCATAGAAATTTCTTTCTGGATCAAATCAGTGTAGTTGTATACGTACTTCTATTATTGATGCTCTCACCATGGATGTTGAGACATCTTTTTTGTTAAACACGTAATTGTTGTCACATGTATCTAAAGGTTTGGAGCTCATAAATATTTATGATCGAGATCAAAGTCTTGTTCGGTTCTAGGAGCTTAACAAAACAACAGTGATCAGCAAACCTGCATAGGATCAGTGAGTGTATTTTTACAGTAATATGTCTCTTCTGTCCTTGAGTTGTTTATCACTCAAACTTATTATTGCTCTTTTATATGCATCACTTTCCTTTATACAAGAAAATAAAATAGAACATTTTTTTTATGTTTATACAACCTTTTACTCCTTGCAACCCTTTGGTCATTTCACTGAATTACCATGACACATCATTCCAAAGAAGGATGTAGTTGTCGATTGAGAAAGAAAGCATGGCCAACCACACAAATTTTGAACCTCCACCTTGTATCTTCCTTATCTCCACCGGAAAGCAAATGTCGTTTTCATATTTCACAAACAGTTTAATTGCATTCCCATAGATTAATTATCTTCTTCCTAGAAAATGGTGGTAACAAGCAATTCTGAAGTTCAGGCAGTAGTCAAGCCCAACAACTATGACCAAAGAAGTGAACTAAAAGCTTTTGATGATACAAAAACCGGTGTGAAGGGACTCGTAGATGATGGGGTGGAGAAAATACCATATATATTTGTGGATCACCAAAATAAGATTAATGATGATGGGCCAGGTTCTGGTAACTCCAAGTTTAGTATTCCAGTGATCGACTTCAGAGGCATCGACAAGGATGCAGCTTTACGTGGTGAAATCATGGCCAAAATTCGAGATGCTTGTGAGGAGTGGGGTTTCTTTCAGGTGGTCAATCATGGAATTCCAGAAAGTGTTATGGATGAAATGATCAATGGGATACGCAGGTTTCATGAGCAGGACATTGAGGTCAGGAAACAATTGTATTCTCGTGATATCACAAGAAATTGTACTTATTTTAGCAACTTTGATTTGTATCAAGCACCAGCAGCTAACTGGAGGGATACTGTTGCTTTTGTCATGGCCCCTCATCCACCTGACCCTCAAGAACTGCCTGTTGTTTGTAGGTATGTTTGATATGTACTTATTAGTTGATTAGCCCAGTACACCTTGGGGTCATGAAATTAATCACATGCCTTGTCTTAATTATGAAATTATGTAACTAAAATTTTTCATTTTTTCTTCTCTACCAAAAGGAAAAAGGACTGAATGGTTTGTGATGCTAGATTTTGCAGGGATTTCTTAGGTTCCGGTTGTAGTTTGCCTATAAACTTACTAGTTTACTGGCAAACATGGAGAACAACATTAGTTATGAACAACTGTTTATCAGAAGAAAAGTTTCACCATTCCAGTGTGTTTGGATAAGCATTTGGGGAAAAGTCTTTCTTGGACTATTATTTTATCCTTTCCCACAACATGCCAAAGAAAAATAAAGAAACATCTTCTGGTACTAGCATGTTTCTATTGAGCATGTTCATAGATTTTCCCTGTTTTCAATCTGCATATAGCATGGTAACGAAATTTTTATTTGCACTGCTTGATGAAGATCTATATATCTTGAGTATTGTAACATTAGGAAGCAAAAGTTACTCTAATTTCCATCATACTATTTTAGGGTTTTTTCTTCTTAATTTCTGTTTGTCCACAATAATATGTTACATGAATCGGACTCATGACCTTCCACTACTTCTCACCCTTTTCTGCAGTATCCACTTAATGTATGACCCCTATTTGCATTAACATTCTGTAATTATTATTTTTGGCCACCTTTATTTGGTTTCCCTCCTTTTCCTTCTTACCCTTTTTATGCAATGCTGTCTCACAGCCATATGTGCATCCAGTAAATTATCAAAATTAAGAGCATTTTAATTTATTCAATGACGTGGCCAAACACATACTTGTTATCTCATGTAATAAATATATGTGATACTCGCTCCAAATAAACTTGCAGAGATATATTGATTGATTACTCCAAGCATGTAATGAAAATGGGGCTTACTCTATTTGAATTGCTCTCGGAGTCTCTTGGGCTTAATTCTGATCACCTCATAAGTATGAATTGTGCCGAGGGGCTTTTGGTCCTTGGCCATTACTACCCAGCATGCCCTGAACCAGAATTGACTTTTGGCACTACCAAACATGCTGACAATGGCTTCCTTACTGTACTTCTACAAGACCAAATGGGTGGGCTTCAAGTCCTTCATGAAAACCAATGGGTTGATGTCCCTCCCTTGCCTGGAGCTCTTGTAGTGAACATTGCAGATCTTATACAGGCAAGTCTATGTTGTACTAAGCTTAATATGCCATATAACTTGACTTCTTTTTTCTTTTTCTTTTTTTTTACCTTTTTATTTTATTTTATTTTATTTATCATCTTTACTAATGCTCCCTTTAAAAATTGTTATTCACATTATCAATAACAATTGTAGCTAACCAGACTGTCTTATTTGTTTTCATGTTTGTTTTTGTGCCGCTTATCACTAATGACTAGTTCAAAAGTGTTAATCACAGAGTACTGGCAAAAAAAATTGGCCCTAGAATTTCAGTGGCTAGTTTTTTCAGAACACATCGTCAAAAAGGGCTTCCACCGGGAGTGTATGGACCAATCGAGGAGTTAGTATCAGAAGAAAACCCCTCAATCTACAGGGAGACCACTGTAAAAGAGTATCTCGAGCACTACTTCCAGAAAGGACTCGATGGAACCTCTGCACTATCACATTTCAAGTTGCATAATTAGTGTAACGACTCTAACTGATGCCAAAATTTTTAAAAAATTTTTTAGCAGGACCTTCACTAAAAATCGTCTTACAACAATCTGTTTAAAAGCATTTTTAACCTGTCCTAACACAATAAACATCTAATACATTCCATGGTGGTATAACCACATATTATATCATCCAAGAATCATAATTACAGTCCCAAAATACAATATTAAGATCAAATGTTTATATTTTACAAACCCATAGGTATAATCATAATATTCAAAGTCCATAAGTCATCGTACAAAGTACATTATGCTTAATCTTACAAAAATAGAGTGACCCAAGTACAAAAACAACAAAATAAGCTCCTAATCCATACTAAGTCTGTGATAGAATGTCATCCGTCACTTATTTCTCGTTTCTTGTAAAAAATGTTAAATAAAAGGGGTGAGCAAAATTGCTCAGTAGGTGGTACCTAAGACACACCTCTTGTGTCTCCGTGAATCCAAACAGGGAATAGGGGAATAGGAATTTGGGGTCATGCAAAGCCAGGAAAACATAATATCAATTCTAAGTTCAAAGCAAATATCTCATGCCATGAATGCAATGTTATGCATGTCACTCTCCAATTTCAGAAAAATATCATCACTTCACAAACTGTTAATATAACCAGCCCTTTGGTGACTCCGCAGCGACACGAGAGAAGGATTGGCTACTGTCTCTGACCTTTGGTACCTTCGCAATGTCATTTGGAGCCCAGATAGTTCAACCACGCTAGGGCAATCTCTCTAGTTCCCTCTAGGCTATATTAACACACCGGCCCTTTGGTGACTCCGCGGCGACTGAGTTTTTCTAAAAAAAAACCATTTTATCAAATTCTCCCCAAAATCCCCTTTTAATTTCATATCAAAACACTTTCCCTTTTCTTTCATGCCCAATGCTTATGTGCATATATGGAACTGGAGAGAATTTTTGACGCACAATTAACAAGCTTTCACATAAATTTCTAACAAATTAATTAACATGGAAAACTAACACATTAAGCATGTTTTAATTTTATTTTATTTCATTTCATTATTATTATTATTATTATTATTATTATACAATTCAATTAAATACACATTATAATTCAATTAAATACACCTTCTCACATATTTCATATATACAATTAAGTCACTTTAAGGAACAATTATCACAATATAGCATGCTAGAATACTAATAAGATACTAATCAAGAAAAATTAATTCACAAAGGAACAATCATCACAATTTAGCATGCTAGGACACTAATCAAGAATAATTAATTCACAAAGGAACAAGATTGTAGGAATTAGAGACCCCTACCTCTATTATATGCAAAACCCCCAATTTTCACCTCAAATCCTCAAAATGGGTCAAGATTTTCGGGCTTCTTAGGTTGCTCAAAACTGAAATTGCTGGTACACTCGTGTAGAGCTCGCTGTGCTCTCCGTTTTGCCACAAACGGCACTCAAAATCACTAAGTATCAAAAGAGGAATCAAGCTTCTGTAACGACCCTAAACTAAAACCATTTATACAAAAATTTCGGCATGACCTCCCCTAAAAGTGGTCCTTCAACAACCTGTCCCAACACATAGTAAAATTAATATACTCCAACATCCCATTCATCACACCTCAACATAGTTCCTTTCATGGTGGAACATCCACACACCAAATAATCTAAATTATCATAATTACAGTCCCAAAATATAGTTACAATAACAAGAGTTTCACGAATCTCTATACCAAATATAACAAACTAAGATTTTACAAAAATATGGGACTTAGTACACAAAATGGCAAAAAGTCTTCTAATCCAAATTAGCCCTGTAGTGGAACGTCATCCGCCACTTCTTTTCCGTTTCTTGGAAAACATTTATTAAATAATAGGGTGAGCAAGTTGCTCAGTAGGTAGTACCTAAGACACACCTCTTGTGTCCCCGTGAATCCAAACAAAGAATAGGACAATAGGAATTTGGGGTCATGCAAAGCCAGGAAAACACAATATCAATTCTAAGTTCAAACCAAATAAATTTCGTGCCATGAATGCAATGTTATGCATGTCACTCCCCATTTTCAGAAAATATCATTACTTCACAAACTGTTAATATAACCCGCCCTTTGGTGACTCCGCAGCGACACGAGAGAAGGATTGGCTACTGTCCCTGACCTTTCGTACCCCCACAACGTCATTTGGGGCCCAGGTAGCTCAACCACGCTAGGGCAATCTCCCTAGTTCCCTCTAGGCTATATTAACACACCGGTCCTTTGGTGACTCCGCGGCGACCGGGTTTTTTTCAAAAGCCGATTCATCAAATTCTCTCCAAAATCCCCTTTTTTCTTTTATTTCAAAACACTTTCCCTTTTCTTTCATGCCCAATGCTTGTGTGCATATATGGAAATGGAGAGAATTTTTTTAACGCACAATTTACAAGCTTTTACATAATTTCTGACAAATTAATTGGCATAGAAAACTAACACATTAAGCATATTTTTATTTTATTTTCTTTCATTTTATTATTATTATTATTTTTATACAATTCAATTAAATACATATTATAATTCAATTAAATACACCTTTTCACATGTTTCGTATATATAATCAAGTCACTTTAAGGAACAATTATCACAACATAGCATGCTAGAATACTAATAGGATACTAATCAAGAAAAAAAAATAATTCACAAAGGGGCAATCATCACAATTTAGCATGCTAGGACACTAATCAAGAACAATTAACTCCCAAAGGAACAAGATTGTAGGAATTAGAGACCCCTACCTCACTTTTAAGCAAAATCCCCAATTTCTTCACCTCAAACCCTAGGATTTCGAATCTCCTATAGTGCACCAATCAAAGAATTGCTCCTATCAACGTGTTGATCTCGTCGTGGGCTTCGAATAGCCGCAAACGGCTCTTAAAAATACCAAGAAATGAGGGAGAAATCAAGAGTGGAAGTTGTAAAAGAAAAAGAAAAAAAGAAATACAGAGGCAGCGAGAGAGAGAGAGACCTGCCGAGAGAGAAAGTGTAATGAAAACAAAATGGGTCTTCATCCCATTAACCACATGTGCCTTAAAATAAGGTGGGCCCCACAGCTAACGTAAAATAAAAAATCTTTTAACATAAATATATAAGATACAGGCATTACATTCTCCCCAACTTTAAAAAAGATTTCGTCCCCGAAATCAAGACATACCTGGAGAAGAAAACAACTTTGGATACTTGGAGCGAACCTCCTGTTCGAGCTCCCAAGTAGCCTCATCGACTCCGTGGTGTCTTCAAAGGATTTTTACCATCGGTATCGTCTTCTTTCTCAACACCTTCTGTTGTGTGTCAAGTATCTGAACTGGTCCTTCCTCGTAGGAAACATCCTCATCAATGTCTACATCAACCCAACTCAAAATGTGAGATGGATCTTGCTCGTACTTCCGTAGCATCGATACATGGAAAACATTGTGGACCCTGTCCAACTGTGGTGGTAAAGCAAGTCTGTAGGCAACCTCTCCTACACGGTCCAAAATCTCAAACGGTCCAATAAATCGTGGAGACAACTTGCCACTTTTCCCGAATCTCATCAATCCCTTCCGTGGAGAAACCCGAAGAAAAACGTAGTCTCCTACCTCAAAGGATAACGACCGCCTCCACTTATCCGCATAACTCTTCTGTCGACTCTGAGCTATAAGTAACCTTTGTCTTATCAACTTAATCTTCTCAGTAGTCTCGAGTACAATGTCAGGTCCTAAGGCGGCTGTCTCGCCTACCTCAGTCCAACAAACAGGAGACCTACAAGGTCTGCCATACAACGCCTCAAATGGAGCCATCTGAATGCTCACCTGATAACTGTTGTTGTAGGCAAACTCAATAAGTGGAAGGTGATCCTCCCAACTACCACCCAAGTCAAGCACACATGCCCGAAGCATATCCTCCAAAATCTGGATAGTACGTTCCGACTGACCGTCAGTCTGTGGATGGAATGCCGTACTCAGGTGCAACGCTGAGCCAAACGCTGCTTGAAGTCCTTCCCAAAACTTTGAAGTGAACTTAGCATCCCTATCTGAAACAATAGTTACTGGAACTCCATGCAACCTTACAATCTCCTTCACATAAAGAACACCAAGCTTCTCTGCATCATCTGTTGCCTTAATAGGTAAAAAGTGAGCCGTCTTGGTCAATCTGTCAATGATGACCCATACGGCCTCATTGCCCTTCCGTGACCTTGGAAAACCTGTCACAAAATCCATAGCGATATGTTCCCATTTCCATTGCGCTACAGGCAATGGTTGCAATAAACCGGCTGGTCTCTGATGCTCGACCTTCACCTGCTGACAGGTAAGGCATCTAACCACAAACTGTGCAACATCTTTCTTCATCCCGTTCCACCAATACTGATGTCTTAAATTATGATATATCTTGGAACTACCTGGATGAACTGCAAAGCGGGAAGTGTGAAACTCCCGTAAGGCGTCCTCACGACAAACCGTGGGAACCACTAATAAACTCCTGAACCGTAGACCCCCATCTGCATGCAAGGCCCAATCTTTCACTGTCTCACCACTGGAGATCAAAGCGTGAATGGCATCTAAATCTGGGTCCTGTCTCTGTGACTCAATCACTCGTACAACAAAAGTAGGCTGAGCCACAAGACTAAACAAGAATACTGGCTCACTGTCAACATCATCATCAAAACACTATAATCCCATCTCTGCCAGATTATTAAGCATCTTCCACTTCTGAATAGCCAAACAGGCCAGAGTCCCATGAGATTTCTGGCTTAAGGCATCTACTACCACATTTGCCTTGCCCGGATGATACTGCAAGTCAAAATTGTAATCTTCCAAGAATTCAACCCATCTTCTTTGTCTATTGTTCAAGTCCTTTTGGGAGAAAAGGTACTTGAGACTTTTATGATCCGAGT